ATGTAGTTCAATGGTGTATCAGGAGTACTTTGAACTTTTTTTTAAATATAAAGGTTGGAGTTCCAAATAACATACATACATACATCTCAACCTTAACCCCTTAAGGACACAGCTTCAGAAATAAAAGGGAATCATGATGGAATATTTCCGTCATGTGTCCTTAAGGGGTTAAAGAGCCATTCCTGTTTTTATATACTGAGAACTTACCAACTAGACACCAGAACACATGATTTGACAAACTATGTGACTATGTGTAGAAATGTCAGGACTTTATCAAGGGTTTTTGTCTAATATTTTCTCTGGGTATTTTTGTATTCCTTTTGAGCTATGCGCTTTCTTGTGGGTTACATCAGTGATTTTATTGCATTAACGTAACTGCGTTTGGTATCTACAGCAGTGTTTTCTTTTACTGATACTAAAAATACTGTAATGGTGTCTATCCTCTTTTCGTACTCCCACCTCTGACTTTCAACTTCAAGACTTCTCTAGGGCTGCATCATTCCTGTGGAACTCCCTGCCCTTCTCTGTTAGACTTTCACCCAGTCTCCACTCCTTCAAAAAAACTAACTTCTTCAGGAAAGCATATCAATTAAACTGCTAACAGCTTTCACTCTCCGCCTCCTGATTCCTCTCCTCCAACTGTCATTAACAAAAATTAAAAAAATAAGCCCATTACCTTCTGTGTCACTATATCCCACTCCCTCTAGCATGTAAGCTCATTGAGCAGGGCCCTCAACTATTTTGTTCCTGTGCAAAAAAAAAAAACTCTTCTGGGTACAATTATGTGTCTGCTAGTTCACCCATTGTACAGCACATCAGAATTTGTTTGCCCTTTACAAATAATAGCAATAATAATAATAATAATCATCATCACAACAGTCTAGTTCAGTGGTCCCAACCCTGTCCTCATGGACCACCAACAGTCCAGCTTTTGTCAGTATCTCCATTTGAATACAAAAAATGTAAATTCAGAAATCCTGGAATGTTGGTTGTCCATTGGGGACCTCTGGTCTAGTTCCAGTTCCATAAAGGACTTAATGCTAATCACTAGGCCCCCAGTATTGTGGTTCCCTAATGATTTTCTGCTATTCCCTCTCTGGGACATGCAATGTGTGATGGTAACCCTTGATAAAGAAATAAGGACACCGTACTTCATTCCCCTTCGTGGCATTGCATATTCAAAGGCAGTGTACAATTCAATTATGGGAAAGTACTATGGGGGAGGTGGATTCCATACACATTGCCCTAAAATGCTTAATGAAAATTAATTTGAAAATATGGTTATAATTTATTTGAAGTCCACTTGGTTCTTGCTCTTTTCAATGTGAACTCCAATTATCATTTTGATTTTTCATGAGATTAATTCCTAATGTTGACTTGGCTTAATTCTGGTGACATTAACGGACAACCAACCCTTCTTCACTTAAGTGCCGGTAAATATTGGAAAGTGTCAATTGAATTCAAAATAATATATAGACATATAATTTTATGCAAATTTTAAATGTAGTTTATATTTTTGGCATATTCACAAAGATACTAACTTACCTTTCAACTTGATTGTAATCTTCTAATGTATCCACTAGGTGGCTGTCTTGATAAATGAAATGTCAAATGGCAAACCCTTTTTTTGTTGGTCATATAAGGACACATTTGTTCTTGGATACCAACGAGACAATACATGGCGTGAAATGTTATGTCTAGCAGCACAGTCCTAGACACATTGTGCTTCATCAGGGTTTTCAGTAATTAACCCTATTGTGTGTCTTGTGATTTTATAATTTTTATACTGAACAGTAGCTCTACATCTGTCTGGCTTGCAGACCATAAGTGAAATGCCTCATGATAGAACATTTTATCACATGAACTAGAGTCCTCATTTGGATTATATCTGACAAGATATGTAACACCCTCTATTGAAAAATGGTCACATAAATTAAATAGCTTAGCTGGACACATTTCAAATAAAAACTAATCAAAAATATCTAAAGGGCTGAGAAATTTAATATGTATGCACGTGTATTAGTCAATTCATTAATCAGATTTGTTGTATAAGAAATTAGCATTTAAATATTAGATTTAATATAATAATGTAATTAATTTTACAAGTTATAAGTCCTGTTATAAGTGAATGGGATGGTTTGACAAATTAGTTGATGCTATAGAATGTCATAAACAGAGTAGAATTTACCACCCGTGTAAGTCTAGATACAATCTCCTGGACTCGTTTGATATTATTGAAACTTGATACAGGAAACTCTCATGAGCTCAATTACTTTTTTATTGCATTTCCATATAAACATATTGTTTATCCGCCCCTATTGTCCTCTCTCGCCTTGACTACTGCAATCCATTTCTCAGTGGTCTCACATGTCCCCAACTTGCCCTGCTACAGTCTATAATGAACCTGGTCTAAGCTCTATGTCGTAGAAATATGACATTCATGAGATGCTGCAGATAATGGGAAATTGAAGATAAGTCAGACCTGTTTCTAGTATCCCCATTAAGTAAAATGTTTCACAGCAGGTATTCAATGTTGGTCCTCTAATTGTTTGTAACAGTAGTGAAATGCATATCCCAATAAGTATCTCACTCATAGAAAGTTATGGAAGAACTGCACATTTCCCACAACCTCCTGCAGTGGAATTTATAGAAACATACATATTTGTTTACTGCTTAAATTATTGCTGAATAATTTATGTGAGTCAATTAGACATGCTTATGACTGCACTTTAAGGAAAGCACGTAGTGATTATTACGTAGAGGACTTGAAACTTCAATACTGCCCTACTGAGTTTTTACTCACTGTAATAATCTAAAGAATCACTGTCATCAATGTTTTTTTCTTTACTTTATCTTTACATTATATTATACCATCCTTTTATTTGTTTTTAATTCTTGTATATTGACATTTTTGAAGAAATCTCTTGCCTCCTCCCCTTTATGACAGCCATCTCATTTATTTAACCAATCATTGTTAACAGGAGTAGTCCCAGAAGATTGGAAGTTAGCGAATGTTGTGCCCATTTACAAGAAAGGTAATAGGGAGGAGTCGGGCAACTATAGGCCAGTAAGCCTTACTTCAGTAGTGGGGAAAGTGATGGAAACCATGTTAAAGAATAGGATTGATGAACATCTAAAAACACACGGATTTCAAGATCAGAGACAACATGGGTTTACTTCAGGGAGATCATGCCAAACTAATCTTATTGATTTTTTTGATTGGGTAACTAAAATTATAGATCAGGGTGGTGCAGTAGACATTGCTACCTAGATTTCAGTAAGGCTTTTGACACTGTTGCACATAGAAGGCTTATCAATAAACTGCAATCTTTAAGTTTGGATTCAAATATTGTTGAATGGGTAAGGCAGTGGCTGAGTAACAGGCAACAGAGCGTTGTAGTTATTGGAATATATTCGAAGCTTGGACTTGTCACCAGTGGGGTACCTCAGGGATCTGTACTTGGACCCATTCTCTTTAATATTTTTATTAGTGATATTGCAGAAGGTCTTGATGGTAAGGTTTGTCTTTTTGCTGATGATATTAAGATATGTAACAGGGTTGATGTTCCAGGAGGGATAAGCCAAATGACAAATGATTTAGGTAAACTAGAAAAATGGTCAGAATTGTGGCAACTGACATTTAATGTGGATAAGTGCAAGATAATGCATCTTGGACGTAAAAACCCAAGGGCAGAGTACAGAATATTTGATAGAGTCCTAACCTCAACATATGAGGAAAGGGATTTAGGGGTGATTATTTCTGATGACTTAAAGGTAGGCAGACAATGTAATAGAGCAGCAGGAAATGCTAGCAGAATGCTTGGTTGTATAGGGAGAGGCATTAGCAGTAGAAAGAGGGAAGTGCTCATGCCACTGTACAGAACACTGGTGAGACCTCACTTGGAGTATTGTACACAGTACTGGAGACCGTATCTTCAGAAGGATATTGATACCTTAGAGAGGGTTCAGAGAAGGGCTACTAAACTGGTTCATGGATTGCGGGATAAAACTTACCAGGAAAGGTTAAAGGATCTTAACATGTATAGCTTGGAGGAAAGACGAGACAGGGGGGATATGATAGAAACATTTAAATATATAAAGGGAATCAACACAGTAAAGGAGGAGACTATATTTAAAAGAAGAAAAACTACCACAACAAGAGGACATAGTCTTAAATTAGAGGGACAAAGGTTTAAAAATAATATCAGGAAGTATTACTTTACTGAGAGGGTAGTGGATGCATGGAATAGCCTTCCAGCTGAAGTGGTAGAGGTCAACACAGTAAAGGAGTTTAAGCATGCGTGGGATAGGCATAAGGCTATCCTAACTATAAGATAAGACTAGGGACTAATGAAAGTATTTAGAAAATTGGGCAGACTAGATGGGCCGAATGGTTCTTATCTGCCGTCATATTCTATGTTTCTATCTCATACTTGCCAACTTTCCCTGCCCACCTTCTGGGATAGGGAAGAGAGCAAGTATTCAAGGGAACCGACCTGTCTGTCAAAGGGGCATGCTTACCCATTAAATGGGTGAGTGTGGTCCTCAAAGGGGGCATCCCCACTGTCACAAATGCACCCTACTCCAAGTGTGCTTGCAACCTGGATCTGGTAGTGAAAGGGTTAGCCAGGGTTAAAAGGGTTAATGCACTAGACCGGAAATAATGATAACCACCCACGCTTAATTATCATGTAAATATTACTATTTTATAACACTGCCACCACCAAGGCAATTTATTAATCGGGTTCCTTGGTCCCCCAAGCAAATTAGAATAAAAACCCACCAAATACAGTTAAGCCCAATATCTATGCAATTTCAAAACACTAATGAATTTGTTCTCTTCATCTAACGTAAGTCTTTACCAGACAAAGGCAGAATTTAATAAAGCAATATTTATTATGAACAAACAAAAGTCACAGTGCATATAAAAAAACAGATGGCAAAAAAATTATTTACACCAACAACAATTAATAGTAAAAAGGAGAAATTAACAGAAAAACCTACTCATTTACATGTAAAGTAACAGTATTTTATGCCCGTGTGTCTCCGGCAAAATAAAGATGGCATCTTTTTCAAGATTAGATCTTGGTCCCTAGTAAGCACACTAAACATTTCCCCATCAATTAGATTTATACCTCCTGTAGTTATCATAGGTTTCCAATCCACCCCAGAGGTGGTATAGGTAAATTGGAAGACGTATCAATAGGAGGAACAATAAGTGACCTCCCCCTTGTATTTCAGATCAACATCAATCATCAATCCAACTAGAAACCTTTGAATTTATATCCTTTTTTGTGCTTGCCACGTCATCATGAATTTGTTTTAATTTTCCCATTCCATATATAGATATATATAAAACACTTCCTACGTATGCACTAATACAATGGACTTCATAACTCCTTCCAAACGACTTAAGCTGCGCTTGCCATATTTAAACTCTTTTTTTTTTTTCAGATTCACAAAAGGAGGCATGATTATTCACCTGTGGGTTATTATTAATGTTTTTTTGGATATGACACTGGAACACACTAGTTCTCTTCAATGCTAATGCTCATTAACATGTCAAAAGAACCCACTCTCTAAGAGGAGATACAGGCATATGGTAGAAGCCAGTTAGTTGAAAGCAGACTTACAGGTCAAATACTCATGGGTAATATTTCACACATTGCAGAGGAGATCTAGAGTCAAAGCTTCAAAAGAGGATTTCTTATTGTAAATCTTCTGACATCTATCCTCTACAATCAAATTGGCCATATCACCTCTACCAAGTAGCCAGTTCATGTATGCCCAACACAATTTGCATTAACTAGCTATATTCTATAGTGCAGCAATACATTATACAACATTGGTGTGACATCAACCCATAAATTTAACCCTCCATTTTGAAATGTTTAGGCAGGTTTCACAATGTGGAATTGGTCTCTAGGACCTATTTTTGCTGGGACAGAATCCCTAATGTGGGACTGTCTTGGCAAATCCGGTACCTGTGCCATCTTTATGTACCTTGGATGAGACTGTCCTTTATCTGACTAAATTTATAGTATACAAAAACCAGAACTGTATATTAGCAAAGTATTAATACAGAAAATAGGGCGCCACTTATCACAAACTAAATATTGGTATAATTACCCTCTTATTGGTTGGTACGAAAACCCTCACATAAAAAGAGAGAAAAGAGAAAAAAATTCATAGTGCAAACTTTAATTTTAACAATAATAAAAATCAAAATAAAATGTAGCACTCACAAACAGTGTGGCACAATTGAAAAATATCAATACGTGCATAAAAGCTGTAGCCTCCAAATGGGCTTAATCCCCGGGTGTACCAGTCTGCAGTAGTACCTCAGGCTCCACAAGCTGATAAATAGAACCTGCAAATTCAGTACCTATGCCATCTTTATGTACCTTGGATGAGACTGTCCGTTATCTGACTTAATGTATTTTATATATGCATTGCTATTTTGCCATCTGTTGTTGTTTTTTTAATTGCCTGACAGGAAACACTATAGGCAGAAAGAACGATTTTTGCAGTAGGCAACCAACGATTGTCAGAAGAAAATAGGTAAGAGAGCAGGAACAAAATGTAGATCAGAAATTGGGGAGTCACATTAGATACAGAATAGACTATAGCAACATGTATAAATAAGTGAGAAAAGTGATGGACTGGTCTGTCAAAGAGAAAATGGAAAATGGAGCTAAGAGTATGTACTGTAGGGTACAGTGGGTGACAGAAATACATAAATAACACCTTGATTGTTGTTCCCCTGGCCTGGTAGAGTGGATGAGGCATAGTTTACCACATGATAGCAAATGGGAAGGCAATATCTAATGATATTAAGACTGCAAAAAAACTATTAAAATGTATAAAAATAAACAACATATGAAGAGTGATGCCATAGACAGGGCCTTTTGTACACCTGTTAATGTTTTTATAAATTTATGTTTTAATGTAACTGTGAAGCACTTTGGGCAACAACGTTGCTATTAAATGTGCTATATAAATAAATAAAAGTTGAAATGCATTTCTCACTCTATCAAGCTTGCCATGTGCACTTTTTAAATTTGTTCAATCAGTTGGTTAGTGTAATGTTTACTATCTTTACTCACTCCAAACACTCCACACAGTTACTCTGCCCAGTCCAACCTTTCCACAGTTACTCCAGCCAATCCAACAACACAACAGTTACTCAAGCCACTCCACCCAGTTACTCCACCCACTCCAGTTGTAGACTACTGGTGGAGGCAAGAACACTTTACACTATTTCACCAGAAATTGTAGCTTTTCTAGTTTATTATTGTAATTATACGTATGTATATATAATATATGTGTATATATCTATTATATATAGAATATATATACATATATATATATGTAACGTCATTCTAAGTGTATTTTAATACTAATATATGTACTTATATTAATATTAAAACACACTTTGTATGACGTTACATATATATAATATGCATATATATTCTATATATAATAGATATACATATATTATATATATAAATACATTTCTATTTTAATTTTACACGTTTAATTCTTTTTTTTTTTTTACTTTCCCACCAGCAGGGGGACTGTCTGACACTCCAGACAGTTCCCCTGCTGGCAGATCCACAGCCAGCTATAGGGGGCCATGTGATCGCTCTTAAAGAGCGATCACATGGCCCCCGGGGGCCACATTTGCTGGAGGAGGGCTGCCTGGGCTGTCAGGCAGCCCTCCAGAAGAGGATCGCGGCAGAGGTGAGTACCGCGGACCTCCAGGGATAGAAAGCCGTTACGCGTTCTAGGCCGCTGCAACGGCTCTTAATGCTGGACGGCATAGAACGCCGTAACGGCGTTAAGGGGTTAAAAAACATTTTGTGTACATTCCTGCATGCCTATTACTATTTAAGGAAATATATAAACATTATATATCTGGCTTTTACACCTCTTCCGGAGTTGTCTTTCAAAGCTGTTGAAAATAGCAAACATATACTCCATGAAATCCATGTTTAAAGTGGAATAAATTAGGCAAAAATTTGGTTCTTTGTTGAATTAATTTGCATACGCTCACCCCGAATCCCCTGCAGTAATAACAGCACTGCAAATGTGAGATTTTTGTGGGAAAAGCAAGTCTTATGGCTTTACTGGTGTGTAAAGCTATAAGACTTGTGTTTAACAATGTATTTACTACCCACCGATATCAGGTGGAAGGGATTTTCAATCACTTTTTCATTGTTATATATATATATATATATATATACATATATGAATACATACTGATCAGCCGCAACATTAGAACGAACCACCTGCCTAATATCGTGAAGGTCCCCCTCGTGCTGCCAAAACAATTCTGATGCATCAATACCTCAGAACGTGTCCTGTGGTATCTGTTACCAAGACATTAACAACAGATGCTTTAGGTCCTGCAAGTTGTTGTGATGTGGAACCTCCATGGATCTGATTTGTTGTTCCAGTACATCTCACAGATGTTTAATCAGATTGCGATCTGGGGAGTTTGGGGGCCAAGGAAACACATTCAACTCTTTGTCATATTCCTCAAACCATTCCTAAATAATTTTTGCAGTGTGGTATGTTGCATTATCCTGCTGAAAGAGTGAGGCCACTGCCATCAGGGAACACCATTACCACAGGGTGTACGTGGTCTGCAGCAATCTCTAAAGGTAGCTGGTATGTGTCAAAGTAACATCCATATGAATATGAGGACCCAATTTTTCCCAGCAGAACATTGTCCACAGAATAACACTGATTCTGCCAGCCTGCCTTCTTCCCATAGTTCACCGTGCTGCATCCTGCTGCCCCAGGTAAACAATGCACACACACCTGACCAAACATCCGATCTAAAAGAAAACATGATGCTTCAGACCAGGCAACCTTCTTCTATTGTCCCATGGTCCAGTTGTGATGCTCACTTCCCCATTTAAGGTGTTTTTGGCAGTGGACAGGGGTCATTATGGACACTCTACAGCACCTCAAGCAGCAAATTGAAATGCACTGTGTGTTCTGACACCTTTCTACCATGGCCAGTATTAGGTTTGTCAGCAATTTGAACTATAGTAGCCATTCTGGGAACACCCCATAAGACTTGCTATTATGGAGATGCTCTGACCCAGTCATCTAGCCATCACTGTTTGGTACTTGTCAAAGTCACTTAGATATTTTCGTTGGACTAATTTTTCTACTTCTACCACATAAAATTCAAGAACTGAAAGTTCACTTGCTGCCTAATATATGCAACCCCTTGACAAATGCAATTATAATGATATAGTCAATTTTATTCACTCCATCTGTCAGATTTTAATGTTGTGGCATCCAACATGGGCTTGGCACTCACATTCCTGTCCCGTTCTTGCCTTCATGCTATTTCGTGCCCCAATACAACATCCCAGAGAAATGCACTCAGAGGGCTTGTAGTCTTTGTGCAGAGGTACAGTCAAAGGTACTAAAACGTTGACTGCACAAATAATGAATATATTGCACAAGACTACAAGCCCTCTGAGTGCATTTCTCTGGGATTTAAAAAATAACCTGTTGATGCATTACTCTGTCGCAAAAGATTTTAGATCACTTTTTGGGTTAGTTTAAGTGCGTGCACATTGCTAAAGAACATTTTATTACTGTTTAGATCGATTACTGTTTATTGATTATTATAATACGGAGGTAAATAATACAATTTCCCAATTTTTCAAAAAAAGATTTCCAATTTTTTTTCCAGATGAACACTAAAATTGCTAATATTTGCAATTCAGTTTCCAATTCATTCCGATTCAATGTTTTGTGAAAACACCCCAAATGATACTTGTTGGCTATAAAACCTTCATAACATATTCAGGTCTCATTTATAATGTTGTTACAATCAGCCCTAAATTGTTGATAATAATAACAGCTTGTATACATTTGCAGCCAAAAATACTATTTTTTATCCTCCAAGCCCATGTTATGCAAGCCACAAATGTCCACTAATTCAAATACCGTCCAAGTCTTAGTATTTGCCTGACATCTGAACGCGGTAAAAGGCTTAGCGAGCACATATGCACTATACATGCAAATGTCTAATCACGCTGGTCATGAGTCTTTTCTTTTTGTGTCCATATGCAGAACTGATCAGTTGATTGTTCAGCTGATAATTTGTGTATATTTCTTTATTATGTGACTGTAGTGTTTTTGTCCTGTGTATTAACCTATATTTTTATTGATGGCTTATTTAGGACTTTATTTACATGTCAGGTGCCTGTAGACACAATATTCTAAGGCACACTCTGCTCCCCAAAATAATGCATGAAAAAAGCATAATAACTCTGAAAAGGCAGATTTTACAATGCTAAGACTGCAGGGACATGCTATAGACACCAGAACCACTACATTAAGCTGTAATGTTTCTGGTAAAGGAGAGTTTAAGGTTAGGGAAGAGTTAATGTTAGAGCTATATTGCATAGGGTGTTCAGTGTCAAAAAGATTAATAGCTTGAGAGAGATTGAAGTTGTAGCACAAGGGCCATTTAGGATTATTGCGTTTAGGACTAGTTTGGTCAAATTTAGTATTGGGGTACATTATAATTGAAATATTACATTGTAAGTGCTGGAAACTGGAGCCCCCTAGTGGTCAGGCACCTGTAGGCACGTGCCTACTGACTCAGTGTGTTAATGTATGTGTGTTTAGTACTACCATGCATATACTTTTCCCTTCTAACTATTTTCACAGGTCTTACAATCAGGTAATGCTATATATTTCCACGCACACACTTTACTCACAAATATGTTAATTGTAGTGAATTTAAAACCTAGTCACACTTTGCCTATTTTAGTCCAAATCCTGCAATTTGGTTCTTAATTTATCACAATTCCCTATTCATGAAATCAGCTTTTTCGGAACTCTGCATTTCTATAAATCACTTACCTCATTTTATCATCCACTACTGGCAAATAATCTGTTAAACATTTGGTAACATGTTGCACAACGCATGTACGTTACCAACGGCTGAATATAAATGTGTACTTTTTTTGAAGGTACAGTTAAGTTTACAACGTTCTAATGCATATTTTTTTCCTGTGTTTTTGCAGCAGACTGAGCAGAGATACTCCAGGACCACAGAAATGGTAAGTATGTACCTAATGCTATCTTCTAATACTATTTATACGCTATTATAGAGTAGAATGGTTATAGGGGATTTTGATTGTTGCTCTAGCTCTGAGATTTAACCCATACATTGGACGATGGACAAAACTGTGATTAAACAGACTTTGACAGATGTTACAATTTGGCAGTTTTTTCAAATTGTTTGTCATTGGCTTTACTTTGATGCTGGGCACTATATAGCAGTTTGTATCATTCATTCTGTCATCCCATAGTACATGAAATAAATACTACAAAAACAATTGGCATGTAAGAACATTTTTAACAGCCAAATCTCCCCCAGGTAATAATCTATGAAATCTATTGCACTCATATTATGCCCACGGTTTATATCAAATAGAAGGATGCATTTCACTTTTTTTTTTCTGGCTACTCTGAGTTGATAACATGATTTATGAAATGAAAATACACGCTCAATCTGGTTTGGACTGCCATAGACTGCATTCCTATGTATATAATACTTATTTTATATATTGTACTGTCCGGACTGCATAGGTTTAAGTTAAAGGAACACTATAGTGTCAGGAATACAAACATGCATTTCTGACAATATAATGCTGGTGTGGCTGTTTAGGTGACCAGCCCCAATCGCGCTTAAAATGTGGTTTTACTCACCATTTTTCCCTCATTGGCCAACCCAGTGCATTGTGAGAGCAATCAACATCTCGCTATACTGCACTGGATAATTTGTTGGTGCTATAATAATAATAATAATAATAATAATAATATTGCATTTCTTTGGGGAGAGTTAAGTGTCTCCATGCAAAGTGTGGAAATACTGAACGCCAATGGTGCACACTGTGCAGCACTGGACTAGGAAGCATTGCAAGTGGCTGTCTGAGTGATTGCATCTTTGCCTCCTTACTTTACAATTCAGCAATAAAATCCAATCAATAACGTTTTCTTATTTTCTGTTGATGTTGCACAACAGTTATTAAAGCAATTACTACCCAAATTCTATGCACCATTTTACTTTTTAGTGTTAACCTCATGATGTTGTACATGACAGGCCAATTTTCAAGGTTATGGACTGAAAGCATTACTCCTTGTAGGGTTTTTGATTACATCACAAGTTAAAGGACCACTATAGTGCCAGGAAAACATACTCGTTTTCCTGGCACTATAGTGCCCTGAGGGTGCCCCCACCCTCAGGGTCCCCCTCCCGCCCGGCTCTGGAAAGGGGAAAGGGGTAAAAACTTACCTTTTTCCAGCGCTGGGCGGAGAGCTCTCCTCCTTCGTTCCTCCCCGCGGCTGAATGCGCACGCGCGGCAAGAGCTGCGCGCGCATTCAGCCCGTCGCATAGGAAAGCATTTACAATGCTTTCCTATGGACGCTTGCGTGCTCTCACCGTGAAAATCACAGTGAGAAGCACGCAAGCGCCTCTAGTGGCTGTCAATGAGACAGCCACTAGAGGATTAGGGGGAAGGCTTAACCCATTCATAAACATAGCAGTTTCTCTGAAACTGCTATGTTTATGAAAAAATGGGTTAACCCTAGATGGACCATGCACCCAGACCACTTCATTAAGCTGAAGTGGTCTGGGTGCCTAGAGTGGTCCTTTAAAGGTTACAGTCTGTCAAGTGCATTGATTGTGTCAATAGTTGACAGGTGTGTCATTAACACATTATGTTCCACAGAACAGGTATCGTGTGTTTTTCTTTAGGGCATTGGAAGACACATTTCAGATATTGTGTGTATGTGTGTATTTGTTATGTTATCAATGCAGGCTGTGGTGGATATGATGCTTGGAGCAAACTTTAAACAAGGAATTATTAGGTAACCGTGTCACCTTGTATGTGTCACAGTGTCCGTAATTCACCTCTCTATGGTCCAGTGTTGTCCACAGGGCCGGCCATAGGCCTTTAGGCGCCCTGTGTGAAAAATCTTCACAACGCCCCCGTCATCCATGTATTATGTAATGTTTGTGTTGTCTGTGTATGTGATAGATGTGATGACTGTGTGTGATATGTATGCTATGTGTTGGCTGCGTGTGATATTTGTAATGGGTGTATTAACAGTGTGTGATATACGTGTATTGGTTGTATGTGATATTTGTGCTGGGTTTATTGGCTGTGTGTGATGGTTATTTAATTCAGATAAAAACATGCATTTAGGCCTGTGTGTGAATGCAGGTGTATATTTTTGCAGAGTTATGTGCACACAGTCAGATGCACACAGTTATACATATACACTGTCAAATCCACCACATGCACATAGTCACAGGCAGATAGTCACATACACAGGATCAGACAGAAACACACAGGTAAAGGCAGTAACACACATACACAGTTACAGGTAGATAAACACACTCACACACAACTACAGGCAGAAAGCCACACACACACACACAGTTTTACACACACACACACACACACACACACACAGCCACACATACAGTCTGAAACACACACATACTTACATGCAGACCGTCACACACACAGCCACACACACACAGGCAGACAGCCACACACACAGGCAGCCACATACATACACACAGGCAGAAACCCACACACACACAGCCACACAGCCACACAGCCACACATACAGAGGCAGGCGGCCATCCACACACACAGGAAGACATCCACACACACAGAGGCAGGCAGTCACACACGCACAGGCAGACAGCCACATAAACACACACATACAGACAGTCACTCACACACACACAGGCAGACAGTCACACGCACACACACAAGCAGACAGTCACACACACACAGACACACACACACAAACAGGCAGTCATACACACACAAACACAGGCAGACAGTCATACACACACACAGACACACACACACACACACAGGCAGACAGTCAGACACACACACACACACACTCAGAGGCAGACAGTCACAGACACACTGACAATCACACATAGTTACCTCTGTTCATTGTGGAGGCAGTGCAGCTCCCAGAGACTGTTTGTTGGGGGAAGCAGGTACTCCTTCCTGCTTCCCCTGCAGCAATTATCCGGCACTTAGCTCCTCCCCCGCCGCAGAGGAAGCTCCGCCCCGCCACAATTTTTTAAAAATTATTTTTATTTTTTTTAAATCCCGGCCGGCTGTGCGGCTGCATGGCGCCCCCTGCACCATAGCGCCCTGTGCGGCTGCACAGCTCACACATCCCTAAGGCCGGCCCTGGGTGTCCAGGATAAATGTTAGGTTTTAGTGTCTGAAATTGATTTTGATTCCAGTTGTTGACCAGCTAATTTCTAATTCATTTAAACTAAGCAGGAGCTTACATAATTCTATATTCAAATCCTATTTGCATCATGAGTTTTTGGATTGATCATCATTTCAGATCTTTATGCAGGAACTGGTATGTGGTCATTTAAATGCTGCAGTTTATAAGGTATGCGTACCCTGTGGTAAATTGGATATTGTCTACCAGAACCACATGAAGGAACTGTAATGCTGGCAGTCGTGGGCTGTCAGCCGGGCGTTGCACACCCCCTTCAATAGGTGGACATGCCCACTTCCTGGATAAGCATACCCATTATGGATGTCACTAATGACACAAATTGACTTGCAGCCTTGAAGGTCCACCCATACTTTCTAATTCCGTGTCTCCAAATGCTGTGGTACCGTGCACGCCACTAATATGTAATGAAAATGTATCTTTATTGTTCAACATTTTGATATTTTGTTCAATAAATACACAAACATACTCTTGAAGGATATTGACATTGATATTCTAAATTTTTTCGTACATCTGAGTGACTAGAAACAGGAAATTGTTCAACCATAACTTCTTATTTCACAGTGTTATAAAAATGAGGTAACAAATTTCCTTAGTCATTCTTTACAATGGGTAAAACCAAGGAATATAGCTGTGACGTACGACAAAAGGTTCTTCACAAAATGGGAAGTGGCTATAAGAAAGAGCAAAAACATTGAAAATGTCTATTTTCACCATAAGGGCAATAATTAAGTAGTTCCAGTCAACTGAAAATGCTATAAATCAGCCTGCAGATGTGAGTTGAGTCAGAAAGTCTCCAAAACTACAATATGACATCACATGCATCACCGCAAGTCGTTTGGAAGGGTTTCAAGAGAAAAGCAAAAAAAAAACAAAAAACACAAGTTTGCCAGACACTACTGGAACTTCAAATAAGATTGGGTTCTATAGTCAGATGAAACCAAAATAGAGCTTTTTGGCAATAAACCAGAGATGGATTTGGTGCACATAGAGAGGTAGCCATATGGAAAGGTTCCTTATACCCACAGTTAAATATGGTGGTTTTGGGGCTGTTTTTCTGCCAGATGATCTGGACATTTTGTTAGAATACGTGGCATCATGGACTCTGCCACAAGAGATTCTGTATGGAGGAGTGGTCTCCAATCCCTTGAAATGTATTCTTCTAACCTGGCATTGTAGGAGAATCAGAGCTCTTATTTTGACAAAAAGAGGTAGCACAAAGTATTGACAAAAAGAGGGGGGCCAATAGTTGTACCACACATATATTTAGCAAAAGATCAAACAGTAAAGACAATTCTTGTTTGCTCATATGTACCAAGGGTGCCAATATTAGTGGTGGGCACTGTATGTTTTCCCTGTCCATATATACTATACCTTACATATCAGGCCTTACATATCCATCGAAATATAGAAAATCTCTGAATAGAGAGTGAACTGTAGTGCTTATGGTTTTTGGAATATTCCTTTAAGGTGAACCAGGCATCAATAAAAAATGTTTTTTAAAAAGGCATTGAGGCATTTATGCAAATTAAAATGCTATGAGGGGATATGTGGTGCAAATCCCCCCTCTTGGTAAAGCTGCTGTTGCCCATGATTCTTAAGTATCCTTTTTTTGTCCATTATATTTTGATAACACTGACACAATACATCCGAATGCATTATATTGCTGACAATGCATAATAGCATCCTAAATTCCATTGATCTCTACTCTCCAAAAGTTTAAAATGAGCACAGCCGCACGGAATAGATAAATTAGGTTCCATTTTGGTTAAATAAGCCCTGTCTATGCATGTTTTTGCATGGGTCGTGCCCTTTAAAAATCTGGAATAAACCTTATAAATATAGATAAATAATCTGTGTTTTAATGTATAGAACGGCCGTTCTGTTTCACTCAGCATTATGTTAAGTCCTCTGCATATGTGATCCAGATCTTGCCTTTATCAGTAGATCTGCTGTAGGCTCTTTCCCTCTGCAAGCTGCTTCTAACATGTTACAATGCCTACTCGCTTCTGGCCTGGACACCATCTGCTCCCTTTACACTGATACCAGACTGATTTCCATCTAACTGATCCATGTTTTTCTTTGCAGGAAAAAAAAAAAAAACTTTTTGGGCTGAAGCTTCATAAAGTAGATTTACCTTCAATCACCATTTAATAAATCTCCATCCATTAAAAACCATAGCTTGCCGCTGCTGCGTGCATTAAGCCTGATTATAGAAGCTGTAGCACGGGGGATGGGGAGGCAGCAGTCAGTACTCTTGTGTTGCTCAGGTTTACCCCTGCTCCATGATAGCTCCATTCCCTCCTGGCTATGTGTATGCCAGCTCGTCCATTCTGGGACCTTTCCATTTCTACGTAACAGCAATGTCTCTTTGTAGGTTCGTTTTCTTGTTTCTGCCCTGCTGAGCTGTAGCTCTGCTTAGGTGCTTCGTAGACTCTATGAATGAATGTAAAGTTTTCCATAGTGGCCTGGTGCTACCCGATTATTCATGGAGGGAAAAGGGCAAGTGGGCAAGAGACCTGCCGGAGCCAGAGGTGGGAAGTTCACGGGCTCCTTAAGAAGGATGAGTGGTTCTTTTAAACGCACATCATTAAGGGGCTCATCTTCTGGATCCCAAAAGGTATGTGCTTGCTAAGACGTTCTGATAATCTGTGGCTTGCTAGCGACTGTCTACTTATATTCCTGTATGAGCTGAGCTGTGTGGTGAGTGACCTGCAGAAAATGACAATTATACAAATAAGTGCTTGCATGTAACCTTTTTTTAAAGTGCAGCTTTTATGGTAGGATATCACTTGGATGCAAAAGTGTCCACAAGAGGTGTGCCAGGTGTGCCCAGATCTACCATACTGAAATGCTGAATTATCCACCTGTTACCCAGTTATATACCTACCTGCATTTTTTAAAATTCATTTTAATGTGATTGAAGTTAAATAGCATGGACTATCTTTATATGCAATTTAATTAGTTATCACTAGACCACGTATTTTGTAACTTTAAAAAAAAAAGTGTTTGTTAAAATTTAGCTAGCATCTTTTTGTTTACATGATGAAGATTTTAATTAGCAGATAAATGTGCGCCAAACCTTAATGAAAATATTCTCTGCATGCACATTTATGCAAATATCTATTACATAATATGAAGATTATTTCCTCGGCTAATGCAAAATCAATACATGTGAAAAAAAAATGTATTATTCATAGTCTATTGTAATACTAATGATTTCTAAAAAAATATGTGTAATGATATATTTTGTTAAAAGAAAAAATTAATTTCAGAAGAAAAAGAATGGTGAAGCACATACTATAAATGGTTTCTTATTTTCAGAGAACTAGATACAGATTACATTGAGGTCCAGCCATCAGAGAGTATGTTCTACACAGAGTTGAGGAAAAATGTACTGACTTGGAAAATGTAGGCCAAAATAACTTTGAAGTTTGGCTTCAATTTAGTTTATTGTTGATATTTTAGAGAAATGTCCAGGCACTCCAGGAAATAGATGAGGTAAAATGTAATTAAACCCAACAATCAGCAATGTTTCAACCATAATGGTCTTTTTCAAGTTTGAAAGAGACCATTTAGGTCGAAATGTTGCAGACAATTGGGTTTCATTAAATTTTGCTAATCAATTTCCTGGAGTGCCTGGACCTTTTTATATTATATCTACTGTAAATTGCGACCAGATGCTGGTTTGGTTGCACCCAGGATTGTACTTTTTGGATTGAGTGCAGTTCTGAATTTGATTTTTCTCAATTTAGTTTATTGACAGTTTCTTTGCTCTCAATAAGCTAATTACTGGTTTGGATCAATTAAATTACTGCCTTTAAAGGCTTATTTGAAAACAATATTTATCAATATGAATTTTGAAACTGATACTTAAATTTAAAATATTGGATGAGATGATTAAATTCCATTCAATGGGCACACATGCCCAATAATTGGCCTCATTGGATTCAACAACTAAAAGTTGTTCACAGAGCACTGGCAGTCTGCAGGCAAATAGTTAAAAAAATAGCCTGAGGTGGTCAATATGAGTCACACACTAGTTTAAGGGAGGTCTACACGAGTGGTGGCATGTCTACTAAACAGTGAGCAGTCAGGTGGTTGGTTTACAAGCCAACCAATCAGAGCTCTCTGACTGAGCTTGCATAGCATGGCTTTTTCTGCCTGGCAGGCTCATTCTTTGCGGATCCGTCCATTGGTGAAGATGGATTAATTTTGTCTGTTGTGTTTTCTTTGTTTAGTTTTTTTAGTAGACATGTCCCCACCCGTGGCATGAGGGAGGTATTAAACCTCCCTTATACTAATACGGGGGTCATATTGACCCTCATAGGTTTTTTTAATATATGTTTTTGATGCATATTAATCTGCATTTATATTTTAAACAGCCAACATGTCTAATGAGTTTGTCTTCTTGAGTTTCAGCTGGCATTAAATCCAGCTAAAATTCGATAAGAAAAAAATAAAGTCTGAAAAAAGTTGGTAATTATCAACGGTTTTCTGCTGATTCTCTAATAGGTGACCATATATCATCCATTATTTATCTGCCATTTTCATATTCACTAACAGCTTATCAGGTCGAAATTTGATCATTTCAACTTAGTGAGAACAATTCGTTCAGTAACTGTCAATGTATGTTTTAAAATCAGTAATGTTTGCATGTAAATTCTATATAAAATTTAATATTCTCAGATTCATGGAAGACAGAATATATACCAGATTTCTACACCTTCCCTGGCTGGGACCCATGCAACCTTCATGAACAAAAATGGGTTTTATTTTTAATTAGATTTACTTTGGAAATTCCAATCTCCTGTTCTGTTTATTGAACTTTATAGGAACACTATAGGAACACTCACCTAAATTACTTTAGCTAAATAAAGCAGTTTTAGTGTATAGATCATTCCCCTGCAATTTCACTGCTCAATTCACTGTCATTTAGGCGTTAAATCACTTTGTTTCTGTTTATGCAGCCCTAGCCACACCTCCCCTAGCTATGATTGGCAGAGCCTGCATGAAAAAAAAAAAACTGGTTTCACTTTCAAACAGATGTAATTTACCTTAAATAATTGTATCTCAATCTCTAAATTGAACTTTAATCACATACAGGAGGCTCTTGCAGGGTCTAGCAAGCTATTAACATAGCAGGGGATAAGAAAATCTTAATTAAACAGAACTTGCAATAAAGAAAGCCTAAATAGGGCTCTCTTTACAGGAAGTGTTTATGGAAGGCTGTGCAGGTCACATGCAGGGAGGTGTGACTAGGGTTCATAAACAAAGGGATTTAACTCCTAAATGGCAGAGGATTGAGCAGTGAGGCTGCACGGGCATGTTCTATACACCAAAACTGCTTCATTAAGCTAAAGTTGTTCAGCTGACTATAGTGTCCCTTTAAAAGCACACATGAGGCTATTAACAGAGCAAGAGAGTATAAATTCTAAATTAAACACATAATGCAATAAGCGAAGCTACAATGTTTAAACTATATTTTAGAAAGTATGTGGGAAAGCTGTGTGAGTCACAGTCAGAACAAGTGTGGTTAGGGTTGCATAAACAAATTGACTTAACTCCTCAATTGCAGAGAATTGAGCAGTGAGACTGCAGGGGCATGATCTAAACACCGAAACTTTCCTTAAGCTAAAGTTGTTTTGGTGCTTAGAGTGTCCCTTAAAATATCAGTTTTTAACAGATATAGATTTTAAAACCAATTTGAGAAAATCTAGAGTGTTTGATCTGTGTGTGTGCTGCCAGATCGGGGCTTGGAAACAGTAATTTGTGGAAGGCCTGTTTCAGTACGGCAGCAGACAAGCTCCGCTCAGGGTTGTCTATTGGCTTCTGTGAATCTACCAGGACAGCCTTAGTGATCACTGATGGGGAGCCCTTGTGTGGCAAGAGTGGCTGGTAGTGACTGTGAGGATGAAAGCTGTGGAGGAAAGCAAACTCTGCGAGAGATCCTGACAACAGAGCATTTTCCAGCTCCGGTGTCAGTCAATAGATATTACTAAACAAAATAGATTATTGTACGTAGCTGCAAGAGCCGCGCACGCATTTAAACCGCCCATAGGAAAGCATTACTCAATGCTTTCCTAGTGACGTCAGCGTGTCCTCAATGCGATTTTCACATTGCGGATCGTGGAAGCGGCCTCTAGTGGCTGTCAAGGAGATAACCACTAGAGGCTGGATTAACCCGCAATGTAAACATTAGATCTTCCAGCACATTGTGTTTACTATGGAAATTCCAATCTCCTGTTCTGTTTATTAAACTTTAAAAGCACACATGAGGCTATTAACAGAGCAAGAGAGTATTAATTCTAAATTAAGCACATATGTAGGCCTCAAATCTATTAAGTTAGCCGAACATGGTGAATTAATATCATCTGGTTTTGATCTGTGTTTCATTTTTATTGGATTTAAAGGATCACTATAGTGCCAGGAAAACACACAAGAGCTGCGCACGCATTCAAACTGATCTAGCTGCAGGGTTAAAACTAGGGGGACCTGGCACCCAGACCACTTCATTGAGCTGAAGTGGTCTGGGTGCCCATAGTGGTCCTTTAATGATAAGCCGATACGGTTGCTTGAAAAATATTGGAATCACATTTCTAGGCCTTTTTTAATAACTAACCCTGATATTGAAACTGTGGGGGTCATTTAACGCCTCCCCTATGCCCCCGTCCCCACTTGCTGAAGGCAGTATTTTTTTTTTTTTTGTGAAGGGGTGATAAGAGCTTTGAAATTTTAGGCATCCAGGAAGTGGGGTGGACATAGATTTTTTTGTGCAATATTATGTCCACGCCTTCTATATTTAATTATAGCCACCAACTGCCACCAATACACCAATAGCTTGGGAAAACATTAGGTCCACCTACTTGTTCATATTAGAGCCCCCACCCACCAGTGGGGCTATGGGGACAATAGGTCCCTTGTTTATTATTATTATTATTAGAACACCTGCTGACAACATATGAGGCTGGGTGCACACAATAGGTTCCAAGCGTTTATTATTGTATAATTTAATTAATTAACTCCACCGTAGAGGTGGGGGCAGACCCTAAGATGTGCCCCCGCTTTTTATTTTAATTGGCCACCCTACGGCCACAAATCACTGCAAACCTGATTTTTTAATTTGAGCCTCTACCAAATGCCAAAGTGTGGGATACCTGTACCAGGTGCCCCGTGTATCTTACTAGGGACTTGGCAGCAATAGCCACCCAGTCTGCAGTATTTTATTAATGTTTACAAGACATGCCCCTACATGCTGCGTGAATAGTGGGGTCCTTGGGCAGGGGGAGGTAAAACCTCACTGGTACTAATCTGGGTGTCATAGTGAATCTCTGTTGAAACATGCTTTATTTTTTAACTATTTGCTTGCTGGCTGCTTATGGTGCCAGTGGACAAATTGTAAAAAAAAAAAAAAAAAATTTTTTAACAGCTCATTATGTCTATGATAAATAGCATTTAATTGCCAAATCTGATGGTTTCAATGCCAAGTGCAATATCGATTTTTAAAAAATTTTTTTTTATATTTTCTGAAAATCAATATTATTTGAAGCTATATTTATTGACTCTCTATAAAGCAGGATTTAATTTGATTGTAACCAATAAAAAGCTGATCAACTTCCAATAAACACTATTGAGGCTGTAGTTACAAGTGAACAAGAACAGTTTTTTTACCCTTTTCATCATTGCCAGAGGTTTTGATGGTTTTGTGCCTGCAATGTCTAGTTTATAGGTCAGGAGGAGCCACCTTAGACGAATATGACACTAAACAACCACTTGATTCTAAAACTAATCAAAACTCTTTATCAGCCAGGTCAAACACATATATATCGTATTTATTTAAATCTACCTTTTTAGAAAAATTAAGTTTCCAAAATTTGAATGCACATTAGATTCAATGGCGCATTACATTCAGGGCAAAATTCTAAATCTTCCAGCAAATTGCATTCTGGCGAATTCACACTGGTGAATTAAAACGGGTGAATTCACACAGGCAAATTAAAACTGGTGAATTAAAATTGGTCAATTAAAACAGGTGAGTTCACACAGGCAAATTTCATTCCTGAAAGAGAATTTAAGGAAGAATAGAGTTAACATGTAACACTTAAATTGAAATACCATCAATGTTACTATGGTATATGGCAATAAACATTTTCATTGTAGCACAATGTTGTATAGTAGTATCTTCTTGTATAAATGCCCATTACATACGCCAGTAAAAACATTTTTCAGATTCAGATTTGATGGCGCATTAGATTCGAGTAAATATGGTATTTTCTTTCTGTAGTTGCAGTGCATCCCCATGTTAGGAGACTGTACTGATCTATTGATACAGGAAAAGTGACAGAATGTTGACCGCTGTACCTTTGATGTTTGGGCTAAGCTTACTATTATAAATAAAACACCAAGTATAGGGTATAAAAAGGCCTCGGCCGATTTATTAAAATTCATTATCCCACAAAACCTGTAACTATAAATAGGTGGGTTAACATGGACAATTAACCAAAACATGACCTAACCAAAAAAAAAAACAGATTGCCAAGGTATGAAAGTGGCTGTCCGAAAACCAATTTGGGGAGAGTATATCCAGATGCCCCTTATATGAGGTTCCCAGTTCCATGCCACACCAGGAACCTCCCACCCAACATTGCCACCAATGATCAACCATGCCTGAATTACCTAAATACCTGGCAAGCTTCTGTCCCGACTGTGACAGAAAACCAAAACCACGAAAAGAGGTAATTTTAAAACTAAAATGGCCACTGACCCCCTTAGCTGACCACTACTTATAACCCCCCTAACTACTCCCCACCCCACACTTTTTAGCCCTACTCAGTCCCCTGTCATGGCTCCCTCTGGTCTATTCTGACCCCCGTGAGCTTCAGTATCACTACTTCTTTCTGCTCGACATTGTATCTTTCTGTGAGAGAAGCATGTACTGGAAGATGAAAGGATATAATCTCACATTCTCAGTGCCAATGCAAAGCCTCTCTTGCACGGCAGATTCCCAGCAGGAAAGAGTAGTAATAGATAGGTATGATACAGTGCATCTCCTGTCCCGCATTAATGCATTTACAGGTTCAGTGCATCACCGCACTAGACTATCCCAAGCCCCTTTAGTCATAAACCTCTTTACCTTAAATGCTTCACTTTCCATCCTTGTGAAGAGGCCTCAAAAGAGTATTCGTGGCAGATTGTGATTTGAGGGATTACTGCATCCTCCATTTCTCATTTTCTAACATACAATGTCAGAATGTGAGAGGATATGATATCACATCTCATTGCTTTAGTTGGAAACAACATCACCCGACATGGAAGAATTTGAAATCTGTGACATAGGAGAGAATGATTAACCTTGCCTTTTAATCAACATTAAGTTGGCTGCAATATGAGTGTAGTTATTGCTGTGGCTTTGTTAACATTTACACATAACTGTTGGTGAACTCTCTGTGATCCGTACTTTTACACTAATTTTCACTATATGATATGTTGATGCATAATGAGAGATCACTTCTAAAGCTTTTTCATGTACTATTCAGATTAAAAGTTGGCAAGGAAAAAACTAACTCAGAAAACAAGTTAAAGAATATTATTAGCAGGTACTGTAGCAGTAGCAGTGAGCATATTGGCTTGTGACATTACTTGTTGCATGTGTTAACGTTAATATGGAAAGAACACGTGCGTCCATTGATTTCGAGGTGTGTGCTCTTGTCGCTACCGCAGGATGTCCCAGGGTGCCAGCTTACCACTAAGGGTTAAACACTGGGGTTAAAAACTGCTTAGCCACATAGTTTGGAATCTGGCGCCCACCAACTCTGCCTAGCTACTTCCATTGCATGCAGTCTGATGCTTGAACCAGGAAGCCTCGATTGGGTCATATAAGAATCTCAGAGGCTAAGCTTGCAGTGTTTTACTCTTCCCTCTCGCACCCTCTGTGATGCTGGAAGCAGAAAAATCTAACGTCATTCCGGCCACGGCATACTAAACAGTGTGCGGGAGGAGTAAGGAACTGCCCCATACTGAACCCAAGGGAGATGACTCACACCAGTCCTTCAAAAGGTAGGGAGGCTAGATGGGCATCAAAAAATTAAATTAATTTGAGAAAGTGTACATTAATGTGTATATTTGTGTGTCTGTCAGTGAGTGTGTGTGTCTGTCTGTCAGTGTTTGTGTGTGTGTCAGTGTGTGTCTGTCAGTGAGTGTGTGTGTGTGTGTCTGTCTGTCAGTGTGTGTGTGTCTGTCTGTCAGTGTGTCTGTGTGTGTGTGTGTGTGTCAGTGACTGTATATGTGTCTGTCAGTGAGTGTGTGTGTCTGTCTGTCTGTGTCTGTGTCTGTCAGTGTGTGTTAGTGACTGTGTGTGTGTCTGTCAGTGAATTTGTGTCTGTCAGTGAGTGTGTGTGTGTGTGTCTGTCACACATGTTGCGGTTTGGAGAAACACAAGGAGGAGCTGGGGGGAGAGACACATGGATGGCCTGTCAGTGTTTGTGTGTCTGTCTGTCAGTGTGTGTCAGTAGCTGTGTGTGTCTGTCAGTGAGTATGTGTGT